GGAATTATGTCCTCTAGGGGACGTAGATGTAAAGGGATGTAAATTTTATATGCTAAATACTTTAGGGACCTATCTTTGTTCGTCAGTCACAGGATTACAGCGAAATGAAACTATAACATCAAGTTATAGAACACACAGGATTTATTACACAGATAAAGTTTCATGATAGTTAAAATAAGCACATTTGCTGACTTTATTAGAACGAAGACTAAGTATATTTATACATGTTTCATTATTCCAATTATCCTCTTTATTCCAATTATTCCAATTATTCTCTTTATCCCAATTATTCTCTTTATTCTACCTGTTTGTATCATGATACCCAATATAGCATCGCATGACGAATCATTGCTTATTCCCCTATAACAGATTATTCCCTCCTAAAAATACGCGTGCCACGCGTATTATCAAATTAAACATCAAATTCTCCAAGAATTCATTTCTCACAATAATGTTTGGCAAGGCATACTGGTCATCGGTAGATTGTTGGGTGGATAGTCTTTTTCTTTTAATGTTCCAGGTCGTCGGATTGAATATCTTGATCGGATCTTGATTAAAACACAGGTAAGGCAAGGTTTTTGTTATCACTTGTTTTCTTCACAAAATTTTGTTTCTTCTCCTCTTCTTTTTGTCCCATCGGATAATCTGTCTGGTTAACTCGTGATGGGCCATACTATAGTCAGTGATAGACTGCTGATGACGTCCAGTTCTTGACTTTCTTAGTTGTATAGATATTTATTCTCTCTTTCTTCGTCCGATCTCCTTTCAATGCAAGTTGATCATCATCGGATCACGTGATCATTGCGTTTTCCCTGATAGAACTTCTTTCTTTTGTGTCCTCCATAACCACCATTTGTAATAAGAACTCATATATCTTTCCTTTATTGCAGGTTGGGTATTCCTAAGATCAGATTCATTTTTAGCAACTTTTTTTCTCTTATATGCCATTATCATGATCCTGTGCCTTTCTTCAAAATATTCTGGATGGAATTTTCATCTATGGGATTCACTCGGCTTAAAGAAGTAAGTGTTGCATTGCTTATGTCCTCCAGAATTTAACCTCCATTGGTGTATT